TTGTTCCGTTGTTTGCTAGTCTTAGTAAAATAATGTAACAACATGTACATGTACATTGTGTATAATAGTATTAACATTCATGTTGCAATGCAGTATTAGAATTGGTAAAAGAAGGAATCCAAAATTAATTCAATGTATTACATGTATTATAGTATTATTTTGTTATTACAGGAAGGAGATACTGCTCTTATTGTATCAGCAAGAGGAGGAGACTATGAGACTGTAAAAGTACTGCTGGATAATGGCGCTGATCCAAACATAGAAATGGACCCATACTATGTGAGTATATACACTATGTACATGAACCTCATACCGTATAGCAGAAAATTATTGTGGCCCAAGAATTTTGCGGATCCTTTCAAAAATCAATTTTGTGGCTTTAATTTTTGTGTTTTCTACTTTTTGGCCATCTTGAACCATATTGAATCAATTTTCGCAGATTTTATATTCAAAGGATTTTGAAAAAACGTGAAATCCACAAGAATTTTGGGCCACAAAATTTTTTTGCTATACGGTAGTATAATTTACATGTATACTGACAATGTGTACTGCATGTTTATTAATACATGTGCATATACATTGTATTAGCAGCAAGTATGATAAGGATAGATAAAATTTAAGGACAAATATTGTGTTAATTTGCAAATGACACCCACCAATGAACAATACAGCTTTTGTGACTCAGTTTAGCAGTCCTTACTTGATTAATTTAACTTTTTCATTTCTACACTTGTGCTTGTAGTTGTAGCCACTGACAAGTAGGCTTGTGTGTGCTATGTTTGTGTTTTATAATGTTCAGTTCATATCCATTAACATTTTGTTAACATGTTAAACTACACCCTTGTTATTAATAGCAAATTATTCATTTTTATCATTTAAATTATAATAGGTAGGTGGTACTACAGCACTGATGGCAGCAGTAAACAACAAACATCATCATGTGGTGGAACTTTTATTAACCAAAATAACTCATTTAAGCTTAATGTATAATGTAAGTATGATTACTGTATGTACAAAATACATACAATTAAATACATTTATATACACATGATGTAAGATTCACTGTCAGTTAATAAGAGCATTGTACATGGGGCTTGAAATATACGTGTAATTGAAGCCTAATATCCAATAAGCAACACTTGGCTCTATTTGTGGCTACTTTACAACATCAAAGTACATGTAATTACAATTGTTGCTAGTGTCTAGTGTATGAAGGGCTTAACTTGTACTGTATACGTGTACATGTAGCTGGTAATTTTAGAGGGAGCTATATGTGATAAATTGCTAATTTTTTGTAATTGACAATTTTTAATTATTATAAATTTTTGATACAAAATGGCTCATTTTGATTTTGGTAAATGCCTAATATTAAAATTTTCAATTTGCTAAATTTTTGTCCTTCTAAAATTACCCTTTATGATGCAGTATGCTATTCAAGTACATGTATATGTACATTTGTATAGTTTACTTTGTTATTACAGGAAGGAGACATTGCTCTTATTGTATCAGCAAGAGGAGGAGACTATGAGACTGTAAAAGTACTGCTGGATAATGGAGCTGATCCAAACATACACCTAAAACAGAAATATGTTAGTACATAATATCATTTACTTGTACATTAGAATTGCAGCAAGCATGATAAGGAATTTATTACATGGTTAATTCAATTACTGTCCTTCATGTCATGTTAATGTCCCCTATTATCATAATTCACTATAATACATTTTAATTACCATACATGTACATGTAGTTGGTTATTTTTATGGGTTGTGATTTGCTCCTAGTTAATTTGTGCATGGTTTTAATTTTTGTGGTTGACAGTTTTAAGGAAGTGGCACTTAAAGGATTTTGTAGGTGGTTGG